AAGCTCGTGTTAGGATATGCAAGAGAAAAAGGACAAAAAAACAGTTAATGTAGGCCTTAGGCAGGAATGTGTGTGTGAGGTTGGGCGGATATTTTTTTTGGATTTGAGAAAGACTTGCCAAGTATGGGCCAATAGGCCTTCTGCAGTCTCTCGTGACCCGGGCCGGTACGTGTCCCGGCCCGGGTCTTTTCCAAGATGGTGACCCGGCGGCTCTTACGTTTAATATATTAATAGATGGAGTTATCAAAGGAGCAGTGACAACTCTCACTTTGTATCAGATCCAGGTAGGCCGATCGAAAGTAAAAAAAAAGTCACTTACCTTATTTCTTTCAGTTACTATCTCGCCAGTAGTGTGCTGCCGAGTGCAGGCACTGTACTTTCCACCTCCAGGACTGTAACATCCTCACACATTCTTCAGAGTGCAGGCACTGTACTTTCCACCTCCAGGACTGTAACATCCTCACACATTCTTCAGAGTGCAGGCACTGTACTTTCCACCTCCAGGACTGTAACATCCTCACACATCCTTCAGAGTGCAGGCACTGTACTTTCCACCTCCAGGACTGTAACTTCCTCACACATTCTTCAGAGTGCAGGCACTGTACTTTCCACCTCCAGGACTGTAACATCCTCATACATCCTTCAGAGTGCAGGCACTGTACTTTCCACCTCCAGGACTGTAACATCCTCACACATCCTTCAGAGTGCAGGCACTGTACTTTCCACCTCCAGGACTGTAACATCCTCACACATTCTTCAGAGTGCAGGCACTGTACTTTCCACCTCCAGGACTGTAACATCCTCACCCATCCTCCAGAGTGCAGGCACTGTACTTTCCACCTCCAGGACTGTAACATCATCACACATCCTTCAGAGTGTAGACGCTGTCCTTTCCACCTCCAGGACTGTAACATCCTCACACATCCTTCAGAGTGCAGGCACTGTACTTTCCACCTCCAGGACTGTAACATCCTCACACATCCTTCAGAGTGCAGGCACTGCACTTTCCACCTCCATGACTGTAACATCCTCACACATCCTTCAGAGTGCAGGCACTGTACTTTCCACCTCCAGGACTGTAACATCCTCATATATTCTTCAGAGTGCAGGCACTGTACTTTCCACCTCCAGGACTGTAACATCCTCACACATCTTTCAGAGTGCAGGCACTGCACTTTCCACCTCCATGACTGTAACATCCTCACACATCCTTCAGAGTGCAGGCACTGTACTTTCCACCTCCAGGACTGTAACATCCTCACATATTCTTCAGAGTGTAGGCACTGTACTTTCCACCTCCAGGACTGTAACATCCTCACACATCCTTCAGAGTGCAGGCACTGTACTTTCCACCTCCAGGACTGTAACATCCTCACACATCCTTCAGAGTGCAGGCACTGTACTTTCCACCTCCAGGACTGTAATATCCTCACATATTCTTCAGAGTGCAGGCACTGTACTTTCCACCTCCATGACTAATATCCTCACCCATCTTTCAGAGTGCAGGCACTATACTTTCCACCTTCAGAAATCAAGTCTGGCTAACTGGTTTTCCCTTAATCCCTTCATAAACGTTACCTTGCTCCTTACTCTGGCATGATCATTTTTTTTAATAACAATGTAAACAGGCTGGGGAAAGACATGCCACTTCGTGTTGGATAACTCATCTAATTACATATCATAGTTTAATGTTAATTCACGCTGTTGATATTTTCTGGAAGAGCGCCATCTTATCTGTGGTCTTCATCGTACTCCATTTGTACATTTCCTTTGTTTTTTTAATGGAGTATTCTCCACAGGTACTTAGCCTGGCTGGCCCATCAGTGTGGGTTTCTTGCGCCTAGTGTCATTCAGTTGTACCCTAACCACTGGAAGTGCAATCGCGGCCTCTCCTGTATTATTCACGTTAGCTGCCAATTTCACATAATTGGCAACAGTACTCTCCACAGTATATTTATTAATTCTGTGCGTTGAAAAGTGAAGGTTTGGATCAAGGTTTGTTTGGTCGTGTCGACCTGGGCTGGGGAGTCTTGTCAACCAACTCTGGTGTGATCTTTACGACCAGTTCTGATGTGGTCTTCACGGCCAGCTCTAATGTGGTCTTCACGGTCATATCTGATGTGATCTTCACGGCCAGATCTGATGTGGTCTTTACAGTCAGCTCTAAGTGGCCTTCACGGCCAGATCTGATGTGGTTTTAACCGGGTCTGAAAAATTTTCCTGGTGCGGGTATTAGTCATTTGTTGACCACCCATTTAGTGTAGTTTCTGTTTATTTGATCAAGGGCCATCTGGAGGGTGTTCTAGGGGGTCAACGCCCCCGCGGCCCAGTCCTTGACCAGGCCTCCTCTTCATAGTTATTCAGTCCTTCCCCATAAACTCTTACAAGATGACAACACAACACAAAATGGTTCAGAATTACCCACACACACACAAGTTAAAAATATTTCCTGTGCATTTACAATTAAAAATATAAATATCTCGAGCTCCCGATTGACGAT